CGCCCGGAGCCTCTGCTCCTTGGTTCTCCAGCGCAGCCCGCACGGAGCAGAGGGCGCGACAACACGGAAGATAATTGAAAACCGTTTAATGAGAAGGCGGGAATGACAGCAGCGACCAGGCACAGCCCGGCCAGAACGCGACCGCCGGCCTGCCCGTCCTTCCCCCTTCGCTCCCTTTTCCCCTGCTTCCTCCTTTTAGCCACACGCTTTCCCTTTTCTCCAACGTCTCCCAGAGAATCCCAGATTCCCCCGGCACCACATCCCTAGTTTTATACCCACTGATCCACCTCCGCCCGCCCTTCCCGGCATTTCTGCTCTCCAACCGCTTCCTGTCGGCAGAATGAAGGTCCCAACTGCTCACCCCGACAGAGCCGAGTCGCTGCCGATCACCTGCCTATCCGGACGATGACGGGCCACGCATCCTCACGCCGAGAGCAGCCGCCGAGCTCCAAGTTCTGGCGCATAGAGTCCAACACGTGGTCGACACTCCACATCACTTTTTTATACGCGTTATGCAGCGCTACGCACTTTGTATTAACGAGTTTACAGCCTTCGACGTTCTGCTTAGCATCAGGGCTCCGGATCGGCTGCGCCACCCGGGCCTGGTGATGATCAGATGCCGTGGGGGGTGTCGCTTCCCTGTTCCCTGCCGCAGCGATGTTCCAGGGTGGGGGTACAGCCACCGGCTTAAGAGACTCCACAGGGGCACAAAGCGCCTCTGACATCGCCCCTTGGGCGGTACTGTCACTCTGAGGCTTGGGGGGCAGAGTCCCCTGCTCTGCCAGAGGACACAACGCCCCACACGTTGGCTTCGTGGGGACGCCTCGTGCCTCAGCGGGGGGGACAGTCGCTGGGAGGGTGAGTTTGGGCCGGCCGGTGCCAGCGGGAGCCCGAGGAAACTCCAACCTCTTGGGGCAAGGCTTGTAAAGCAGTATCGTTCGCTTGGCTTTCCGGATGATCCGCAGGACGTAGGATCTCCGCACCACCAGCTGCCAAAGCGTGGCCCGGGTCTTACGAGTCAGACGAACAGCTTTACGAGCTGAGCGCTGGCGACGCACGTGACAGTATTGGTGGTCCTCAAGCGCCAGGACGGCGGCCTTGCGGTCCCTGCAGTAGTTGTGATCGCGCAGAGGGCACGAGTTGCCAAGCCAGAGGCACCTCTTGCTCGTCCCGCAGTAAGAGTGGTCCTTCGAAACAGTCTTGTTCAGCTCCTTGACAGGCAGCTCCATATTTCGCTGGAAAAACAAACATTCCCTCAAAGTGCATCGACCTCCCAGGGCGTTCCTTTTAACCCTCTCCCTGTGGTTGCCATGCAGATGCTCCCAGGGATCTGCCTTTTTGTCCTGCTGTTCCATCACTGGATGAAGCGTGAATCCTCCGCCCTGGATTGCGTTTCCCACCACGCCTTGTTTGTCCTCCACCTCTTTCTCCGTCCCAGGCTGGAAGGCCACCTGTGCCTGCTCGCGGCTTTCCACTGGTCCCGCTCTGCCAGCCACCTCTGCCAGCGACTCGTTCAGGGCCTCGAGATGCTTGAACTTGTTCAGCAGCCTCCTAGACCGCAGCCGCCACTGCGTGCACCATCCTGCTGCGAGAGGGTTGGGAAGAGTTTGCCTTTCTCCTGACTGGGGGTTTGGGATGGGGCAGGGAGAGAGGGACGTGCTGAGGGAACAAGGAGATGCTGACAGCCTGCTCTCTCCCCACTAAGAGCCATTCTATCCAGTACAGGGGCCAGCTGGGCTCCACATCCCCAGCATCCCATCCCGGGATGGGCAGGAGAGTGAAGTCCTGCCCAGGGATGGGGACAGAGCACACCTCGGGCTCTCGGCTCCAAAGCCAGGTGGTGAGGAAGAGCAGGGACCAGGACTCACCTTGGCAGGGGCTCTGCGTCCTCTGCTTCAGCCAGCTCACATCCCCGCTGTGTTCTGCAAGGAAACCAGATGGATGTCACCTTCCCGGCAGGGGAAGCCCTTTGGCTCTGTGTCCATGGGGCCAGAGAAGGAAGCTCTGTCCACCGCCAGCAGCCAGAGCGCCACAACCCTGCTCACAGGTGACTGAACAAGGGGGAGATTCTCCCTGGGTTGAGCAGCAGCAGATCCGCAACGGCTCTGCGGAGCTGTGGGCCTAGAGGGAAGTGGGGGAGACGCCTCAAAAAAGGCAGTGAGGAGGGGAGGGGTTTGAACAGGAGGACAAGGGGGAACCACTGAGATACGCTGGTCACGGGGACGAAGAAGAGCTTGGGGTGGCCTCAGAACGTGCCACCCCTCCCTTTTGTGGTAGGTGGTCCTACGGGGGTTGGATTGTTCCTGCTCACCTGCAGAGGGGCTGTCAGGTCCATCCCACCTCACCGGGCTCTGCGGTGTGCAGATCCATGGCTCTTCCCCACGCTCCATCCGATACAAAACGTCAGGTTTGGGGCCTGGGTAACCTGGGGGGTGGAGCAAAGGGTGTTGGTGTGACACGAACTGGAGGAATAAATTGTTAACACCAGAAAATAAAGGTGTTTTCTGTGACATTCCAAACTGCACTTCACCTTGAGAAAAGCCAAAGCAGAAGCAACACCAAAACATGGAAAATAAGCACGAGAGACACCGGAGCTGCTGCCGGCAATGGATTTATTCACAAGGACAAGGGCAAAGCACTGATGGGAGTATGGGAAGCGACTCCCAACTCTGCTGACAGGGTTTCCCAGTGCGGGATTATCTGCTGCTCATCCTCAGAACAGCTCCCGGGTGTGGGATGTCCTCCCGGGTAATGAGATCTCTGTCCTGTCCTGGTGGCAGTGGGCAAATCCTCTGAAGGGACCTTACTGTTTCAGGGAACTCTGCTGTGGTCTGATGGCTCTGCTTCCGAGCAACCTGCCTGGTCCATGCTCCTCCTGCCCCGCTGCAGCTTGCGCACCCTGGGGAGGGGACAGTCATTGGACCACGGCCAAGACCCCCTGCAAGGTCCCTCGGGGGGGCAGCTAACCTGCAGTTCCATTTTCAGAGGTGGCCACTAGTTCAGAGAGACCCAAATCCTGCGTCTGGGTCTCCCAAGAAGATTGTGGGACACCAAACTGCAGGCGCTCGGAGCGGCTATCCCAACCCTGCAGCCACAGTTCAAATCGCGTTGATCACCCCGCACAGCGCTGGAAACAACACAGTTCTGACGGAGTCAAATATGAGCCCCCAGCCCCCCCGTGCCCCTATCCCAGGAGTTAAAAATGCAGGTTTACCCAGAGATGTCAAGAGCTCGTAGTTGTCCAGCATGACGCTGCGGTACAGGTCCCTCTGCCCCACAGCAATGGCGTCCCACTCCGCGCGGCTCAGATAGACAGCAATGTCCTCGAAGGTCACGGGTTCCTGCCACACAAGGATTGCACCCTCGTTCACGACGAGGATAATGCTCCCTCATTGCCCACGATGGCAGGGGAGAAGGGTTTCATATGGGGTTTATTTTCCAGGAGCTATTCCCACCCTTGGGAGAGCTCCCAGACCACAAGATTGAGAAGTTCTCATCCTAAATTGACTAAAAAAATGGTGGCTCATCCCGCCAACGCCCTCGGCAAGCGGCCATCGGGCAGGTAGGATGGGGCTCTGGCTTTGCCCGCGGCTGTCGGAAGAGAGGAGCGACAGGGATGGCTGGAGGGGGACAACATCACCAGGGGAGGGGGAGCAGCGCAGAGGGTTGGAGGGGGGCGGTAGGAGAAGGGGGCTGGAGAGGGAAAATGTCGTGGAGGGGCTCGGTGGGGAGAAAAGTCATGGCGAGGGGAATGTCACGGGGGAGGAGGAAGAAGTCAGAGAGAGCCATGATGGCGGCTGCTGAGGGGGAGCAGCGAGACCCACCCCAGCAGGGTGTAAAGAGGGCAGGCGGCCACGGAGAGCTGGGT